GAATGCATATTTGCTCAAAATTGCTCAAGACTCTAGACAATAAACCAAATATTAGAAACGAAAATAATAGTTTATTGTTAACAACGTAAAATTTGTATAAAATTGTCGGTGTAACATTTGAATCGAAATATATTGGCCGTTAAATTACTTTCATATTTTGTAAATCACACCATATATAAATACACGATTTTCTAATTACTTCACGTAAAGTATAAAGAAAAAATTACTTTTTCAGTGATTAAAATCTGACAACAGCTTCTAATTAATGTATGATAGCAGAGTGAAACAAAATGTTTCGTTTTTAATCTGATTTCAGTGGTCTAGAAAAGAACATAATTTATATATTAAAAATAAAAAGAAAAACTTTTGAACAATTTCATAACTAACAGAACGTTATACGTGCAACGATTCTATGATCTAAAAATAGATCGGTGCTTTTATTCGTCGATGCATATTTGTAAATATAAATTTTCATGAATAAGACGTTGCCTTACTGTGGCTGAAGTTGAAAGTACTTGTGGCCATGAATATCATTTCCAAGTCTCGTTAAAAAGCTCCGAAACTTGAATTAAATTCGACGCATGAAATGCAACCGAGAACTTCGTTCGAATTATCCAAAACATTTGCATTTCTTTATTGAAAGACGAGTAATTATACACAGACACAATCAGTGATTTCAATCAATCTTTATACAATTATCTTACGACTACGAAGGAATTTGCCTAATAATAACTAACAACCTAAATAAGAATTAATTGCACCACTCAAGGTACATTGAGGCGAATGAGATCTTTGGTCCCAGCTCGGAATACTACATAAATGGTTGGAACGTCGATTAGTATAAAATCATAATTGTTGACAATTTTCATTCAGAAATTGAAGCAAACCGTTACTATTTTTCAAATGGTCATAAAATAACAATAATTTTCCTACTGTTATCTTTTTTGTTCCACAATAACGAAAACAAAATGAATTGTATTCGCTGAAACTTTCATTCAATAAATTTTAAGTAATTAGGGAATTTGTATTATACAGGATGTCCCAATCTCGTAAACACGTGATTTTTAAAAATCAAGCTGTCGCTTATCTTTTAATATTTTAAGTGCGGATTCGATTAATACGAAGACGTTTTCAAAGTCATTTCAAAGTGATCTTGTTGTTTTTATCGTAAACCTATATTTTTTATTCCGGAATCAAATTCTGCATAAAAAATGCATAAGTGTATCGGTTAAACAAAAACTTTTCCTCTGCTTTCAAAAAGTCAAAATTGTATTAGACAGCCAGGAACACTTTCTGTTGATGATCGATATGGTATAGAACTTAAAATCAAAGATAAAATAACAGACATTAAATAAAAGTTAATTTTTGAAGGACATATTATTTAAGATTACTTATGTTAGTTTTATAGAGATTCTTTTAGTCTCTTTTAAACCCCGATCAAACACCCTTCGTAATATTCCCTACTTACGTTAAGGAAAATATTTAGCTATCCAATGATTAGTTAAGAAAAAATATTTTGTAATATTTATTCGACTCAAATGAAGAAATAAATTATTATTATTAAACTTTTTCTTTGATTTTACTTCCATCTAATGGCTAGGCCAACTTGCGTCTGAACTTGAAAAATCAGATTACTGGAATATCTTGATATTTCCTAACTAAATTAATTTTAGTTGTTTTAACCGCTCAAATATGGAAATAAGATCTTGCAATTCTGATAATATAAAATCAATGGATAAAAACGATTATTTTAATTAATTTCTGTGAATAAGAACAATTTTATTTTTTTATTCGACTAAAAAATAACTGTTGAAACTGAACTCTTACGACAAAGTTAAAATGTTAACGTAAAATATTAACTTCAAAAAGAAAATTAACGATTTACGTGTTAAAAATTCGCGAATAACTTTTATTTATAAAAATTAATAATTTTATTCGATTTCTGCTTTTAATTCGTCGTGATTCCCGAAAAATAGTATTAAGTAATCGTAAAGAATTAACGAACTAACTACTCGTGACATCAACCTAAAAACATGACAATATCAAAGAAATCCCACAAAAAACATAAAATCGCTGCAATATCGCAACAGTACCGCACCGCTCGTCTGTTTCCAGCCTTAATCTTAACAATAATCAATAATGTTTTTTCCTTTTCTTTTACAATAAAAAATCTTTTTCTTTGTCTTTTATCTTCTTTTCCTCCATACACAATATTCTACTACAGAACATTAACATTTTTCTAATTATATTCTTAGAATAGATCGTTTAGTTTGAAATCCAAAACACCTAACTGACTCTAAGAATGTTTTATCTACACGTAGGTTGCTTTTTAATTCATCTTACACACATTCGAGGCAAGTATGTCGATTCTTTCATTATCACTTATTAAAACCGTTCATAATTCTGTCTTACACAGAAGGGCCGCGAACGGTCTGGCTCTGATTTAGATGAAACTGTATAGGCTTGTAAAACAGCCGAAAATAATACATACATATTTTTCTTTTTAGTTGCGGTAACTCAAGTTTATGGGGTGAAACCACCCTTCAAAGATTGACCTAGAAAAGAAATATTTGAACAAAAATTGAATGTTTCGGCAATGGTAATACCGAAACACCCTATAGATGTAACAATAATCATATTGATATTGCTATAAGTAGCTCGAGCATTATCTTCTAAAAACAAAGCCTATAGTAATCTATTTGACGTTCATTAATGATATCCTAATAAATAATATCGACAGTTAAACAAAATTCTAAATATTAATTTTCACACCCACCTCGACTATTTATAGGAATATTGATATGATTATTGTTACATCTACAGGATGTTTTTTTCGGTACCACTATTGCCGAAAAATACATCGTATACTTGTAAACCGGCTTTGATGCGAGTACTATAAGCGATCGGCATAATAAATGCTATCTTCCTTGTTCTATGAACAATTAATGTAATTTTTCAAATAAACATGGCAGATGCGGTTTTTTTAAACATTCTTAACAATTTTTTGTCCACTCAAACATTTTCTTCTTATATGTCGAAAATCATTCAATGTTTGTTAAAATATTTTTTTTCTATTTCTAACCGTTTCCGAGTTAGCACTTTCGAGGTCAATTTTTGGAGGGTGATTTCACCCCATAAACTTGAGTTACCATAACTAAAAAAAGATAAATATGTATTATTTCCGGCTGTTTTACAAGACTACAAAGTTTCATCTAAATCAGAGTCGGACCGTTCGAGGCCCTTCCTTGTTAGTTCTATATAAGTTTTTAATAAAAAAAATGCTTACTTTTATTTTACAAATAACTGTTATGTCGTATTACATTTTGCACACACTGAATAAATCTCATGTATCTGATGATAGAATATGGCATATAGATAAATATAATTTTGAAATTATCGTAAACGAATATTAAACTATTAAAATGAAGGAATCACGGAATCAATGTTTCAGACATTAAAATATTATTGATATTAGAATAATTGATTGTAGATGAAACACAAGTCTTTGCAAAATATAGAATTTTACTGTCCTCAATCTGCCATGTCTGTCAGTCGATATTGGATATTTTTAACTTGCTAACACTTGAAGACATAATATTCAGATTTACATTTTTATACAGAATCTCTAACCGTTATAATCAAAATAAAGGAACGCTAGAAACTGTTTTCGTTGAGAAATTTGTTTTCATTGCCGACAACTATTATTGACGAAGAAAATTTATTTTGGTTCTTCGTATTATTTATTCCAATGTTATCCAATTTGCTTTACTTTTCTCCTACTATGATTCATTTTACGTTATTGATATTGATTATCAATAAATTGAAGCAAAATCTGAACTATTGGCAATGGAAAAACAAACTACAATGTAAAGCAAAAAATTTGAATGGCCAAATTGGAATTTCATAAATCGGAATGAAAGTGCGGATGAAAATTTAGCTTGACACAATTTTCGAAACCTCAACAGTGCACTTTAAAAATGTATCAATGTCACTCGTTACCGCATTACGATCAATTTATACCAAGTTCAATAATTACATAAGATACAGCTGAGTTGAACCGTACATGTCGTAAGAATCACTGTATACAGTATATTTGTAATGAAATTATTGTACTGCATTAGTAAAATTACTGCATTACATATTTGGCTATGGAATAATTAAAATATAATTATAATAATATGTTTCCATTGTACACAGGTATATCAAAAAGACAAAGAAAAGAAATACGGTAAAGGATGGGATTCAGCAATATTAAAATCAAGTACTATATACAGATTAAAATAAAATGAAAATTAAAAGCGAAATTGAAACTGAATTAATGCTGAAATATGCAGCAGTATAGATTATAAGACACTTGCGATTTAATAATAAGGAAAAAAAATATCACAATGAATTGTAGTTTAGATAAAAAAAAGAAAAAGTTATATAAACCATTAAATTGTGGGCTTAGTTTGAGTATCCAAGTTGACAGTTGAAGTTCTTGCTATCAGTATGATATAGACATATAGTCAATGTACATTTTTTCGATTCTTTCGTGTAACGATTAACCAAGTGCCGAAATAAAATGGTCATTACGAGTTAACCTAATACATTTTGAAACATGTACAACCACAAAAGATCACACTTTGATTTTCTAATGTCGATAAGAGCTTTGAAACTTGACCTCGAACAACGACAAATCTCGGTCAGTTAACTGTACGTGGGCGCATCTCAAAGGAAAATGTGATTACATTCTAAAAGATGTAACGCGCTTTACAGCAACTCGTTCGTGAACACTCATGTTTCGACGAATTTAACCGACTACGAAATGAACACTGAGACATTAAAATTGCCATTTATGATCTTTTGATGCACACCATTCTCAATAATACAGAATATATAAGTAACCATTAGTACTTTCAATTTCATCCGCGTATCCTTGATGTGACCATTGATTAATTAACGAATTTGTTCGTTCGATAATTATTATGTTCGGTGAGTGAAACACGTGATGTACTCACCTGATTGGCCTTGTTAATCTGTTTCTTTAACCCTGCAAACGCCATGGTGATAGCTTGTCTTTATCTTCCTGCGAAACAGCCAAGTCTAGAACAAAAGTTGATGCACTTAGGAAAAAGAAAAAAATGATTTGAAGGAAATTTTGGAAAACAAAGAGTAGTGTTTGAATTTATGGTCAGTTGGCTGTTAGCTGCATTCGACCGTCTACAGACGAATGATTTTCAATGTTATCGATCGACCACGTTTTCCAATATTTCACACGACACACGCGGGGGTACACAGACACTAATCGTCCTTATACGCAATAAATTTCTCGAATAGAAATTACTGTTAACGCCAATACAGCCACATCATTATAACACCATGCACGTCCTATTTTTAACTAGCTGTCCTTTCCATCGCGGAATCAAGCAACGATGCCAAAAATAGAGTGGTACGCTCGTAAATACGGAATTAACGAGCGTCTTTGTTAATAAGTCGTGCAACGAGAATAAGTGCCCGTAGAAATAAGAGCAAAGGTTGCACGTAAAAAAAGGTTCACCTTATACGCTTCTTGGTATATAACTATAACACCGAGCACGGCGAACACATAGTTCTTTCGCAATCGTTCGGCCGGTGCCAACATATATTGTATCTAACACCATCTTTAACCTCGTTAGAACGTCGAAAGCGGACAAATTGAGGCGCACTGTCGTCGGCAAGATGTGTAGACACGATCGCGACGAACGATACCGGAGGATGAGTCCAGTGAAGAATATCGAGTTACACGATCTAGCGTAGTAATCAGAACGAGCAAAATTACGAAAATCAGGAGGTCTGATAAGTGTGAATGAAATAAAAAACGTTGGCAGGGACAGACTGATCTCTCACCTAGCGCGTTCGATGGCAGGATACGTGACACCCTCGAAAGGTTAAATCGGCCCTAGGGAGATGCACCAAAGCTCGATGAGGAAGAATTATAGGCGATCAGAGCCTATGATCGTGTAGGACACGCAAGTAAAGTTCTAGATCGCCTAGAGATCCGCGTGGACCGCGAGCACCACGAGCACCACCGACTCGTACGTAGTCGGCTTTGCACACTGCGCCTCCTCCTCAAAGGGTAGTTTTCTAGCTGACGATCGATACCCGGCTATCGCTCGCGCTCTCTCCCTCTCTCGCTCCTCTCCTTCTTCTGCTCTATCGCTCTCTCACCTCCCACTGTGACCCTTTCTTTCTCCTTTCTCCTTCTCCTCTCCACTCTTCTCCTTCTTACGCTTACTTCCATCTGACTCTCGATCAAACTTTTTCTCCCATCTCTCCTATTCTCTGCTCTTTATTACCCTTATACTCTATTTTTCTCTCTTTTTCTCATTCTCATCATTTTAGTGTCTCCTGCTCCCTTACCTTCACTCTCCACTTTCTCTTCCTCCTTTTCATTTCTTTCTTTCGCATTTGCTCTTTCATTCTCAATCCCCCTCCTGCTCTCGTTCGTCACGCTCCAAACCGACTGCTTTATCGGCATTACTCCCTCCGTCCTTTCTATCTAGTGCGCTTTTTTCTTCGTTCGAATCTCCTACGCCCACACCTACTGGCGCCTAATTGTGTACCTTTCTTCCTAACCAACACGCGCACCAAACCTTCGCAAACTTAGTCTCGTGTTTTTATACCGTGGACGCGTTCGACGGTACACCAGCACCGACAACTGCCGGCTGTTGTATCAACCGAAGAATATACTATAGAAGAGGAGAATATGTTTGGGCGCCGTTAAAAGGGTATTCTATTCTAGAACCTTAAAAAAATCGATATTTTTTCAATTTCATTTTCTGAAAGCATATGTTCTCAACAATATTTTTGTGAAGAAATACCATCCGATTCGAAAAATAACGAAGTTATACGTGCTCGTCTGTAATGTGCAACGCACCTTTACACAGTAATGTAAAATTTTAAATGTGTTTTTCTCGAAACCTTGTTTTTCGAACTAGCTTCCATAATATCGAAAAATTTACGTATCCTATTAATTTCAAATTTAGAAAAAGTTGCCAGTAGAAATGCTGCTATTGTATGAACTAAGAAGTTTAAAAAATATTTATGTTTACTATCTTTTTTTATACTAAGGACGAAAATAAGGTACAAAATTGTAAATTCAACTTTAAAGTGTCAACTTAAAATTTGTTTATTTATGAAGATTTTTACTTTTCCCTAGTTCATACCATAACTGTATCCATACTAATTAAAATGCTTTCTGATTCATTCGTTTTACAAGGAGAATACAGGACGTTTGGGTCACCGTATTCATTGAGATTTTGACCATTCATAGATCTTAACCCATTTACAAATATATACTATTATAAAGTTAGATACTCAATATTTTCCGAGATATTTACAATTAAAAAGCTTCGATACTCCTTGGATAGTTCTTGAATGGACGCCAATAAGCAAGAGTTAAACTTTAAAAAATGTATGAAAAATATATTTTTATGCCTATATTTTTATTTGATATTAGCTTTAAATTTGATTTACTATACAAACAATTACGTGTGAAAAAATATTTTTATTTATTGTTATTTGAAATACATACGTTTTTAAAATTTGAGATTAAAATATTATATATATACAAAAGAATATATACAGAAAAGAAAAAAAAATTTTTTTAAAAATGCATAGTCCGGGCATCGAACTCTGACCCGTTCGACCAGCAGTCTGACAAGTAATACTTGAGCCACGCTAACTTTTCGGTATTGCCAGCCATTCAATTTCTTTTCTAAGAGTATCGAAGTTTTTTAATTGTAAATATCTCGAAAAATGTTGAGTATCTAACCCTATAATGGTATACATTTGTAAATGAGGTAGCAAAATCTACCAGTGCTTAAAATCTCAATGAAATCGGTAACCCGAAGGTCCTGTATTCTCCTTGTTAGATAAATAGAATGGCTGAAATCATGGTAGCCCTAAAGCTACATTTTTTTGAAAGGATGTTATATGTATAAGAACACGTAGCTTCTATAATAATAATTACTTTCGTATGAAAAAATTAATTTGTACTCGTGAAATATTACCAAATATGTATACAAATCATACAATCTACTGATTTAAAGAAAAGAAATTCCCAAAAAAGGTAAAGAAATTGACTCTCTAGACAAGAAGACCCCCTTAAGGGGTTTTCAAAACGTCGATTTTAGACGATTTTTAAAATAAGTAATTATTATATAACTATACAACGAAAATTTTGTAATTTTTCTCATGTGTTTAATTATTATTCAAGGTACCACAGTATAATTTTCATTCAATAATCTTTATTATTACTCAAGTTATTGCATATTTCCAGTAGTTATTGTTTCGAATGACTACCAAGATATCGATAAAGTGGATCGATAAATTTTTCACCCATATTAAGTTCACGTTTTTTTATCACATGAACCAAAATTATTTATTATAATTTTGTATTTATCCGAAGAAGTAAGCAATTCTATAACTTTTTACTTTATACGACCGCCATTTTGTACAGAAAATTTGTCTTTACTTCATTTTGCTTCAAACGGTAACAACTGATTTGTGGATTATTTGTAGGTTTGGATTTTTTATTTCGGGTGAATTCAACGATATCAATCGTAGCAACCGATTAAAATATACTTAAATTATACTAGACCACATTTTTTAAGTGATACCTAATATAATGTATTTAATTTTCAGTGTTCCTTTTGATTATATTGTACACAGTAAAATATTACACTTGATATACTATAAAAATTGGCTGCACTAACTGCTACTGCAAAAGTATTTGTGACATAGCGGTTTTTAACGCTCAAGGTCGCAGTCGCACATTTTTTTGGAATTGCTTAAGAATATCTTAAATTTTTTAAAACTTGCAATATTTTACTATTTCTAAAAAACTTATTCTGTATTTTTAAAAAGTTTAAAGTTATATACAAGGCTATATTTAGCGGATATAAAATCAATGGAGAAGACTTTGAAACGTATGCCATGGATACAGTTAAATACATTGAAGTGCATTCATGATATACTATGACTCCTACGATCCACAAGATATTAATACATGGTTTAGTGATAATTCAAAACGCCATTATCCCAATTGGACAATTAAATGAGGAAGCAGCCAAGGCTCAAAATAAAGGGTATGGCTGAATAAGGGGGTCAAATATGCCCTCGTACCAAATTTGACATACGATGGATGCATCGATAAAGCATCAGAATCAAACATTCTGTGGCAAGTTTCAATCTTATATCTTGTTCGCAAAGGTAGTTATAAGGAAAATTCGAATTATCGAATTTGTGTCTAATTTCCGTATTTAATCGAGTACGAAAATTATGTAAAAGATTTGGTGCATTGTGGTTATCGAGATACGTGTTCTAGAATTTCTTTTGATTTTTTAATTTCAAATTCTAGGTGTGAAAAATTAAAAACATAAAAAAACGCAGAAAAATACAGGATTCGTATTGAAGCTTTCGGGACACTAAATTTATGTAATTATTGTAAATGTGTATTGTCATTGATTATGTCCCTGAATTTATTCAGACTTTTTGGTAGGGTGCGCCGTAGTAGCAAACATCAAAAACCGAATTTTTCGACGTTTTCCGCATGAAAAAGCAACTTATACTTTGAATTTTTGTATTTCCTTTAATGGATAACTATATTCTATGGTTTTAAACATTTCCATGTTCAGCAAATCGGTGTATAGAATAGAAAAGCAGAAATAAGTCACCAAATAAAAGGTGCTATACGCGTTATATTCTAAAGTATCAACAGAATTTCCAAGAATTACGATGGTGCAGTAAGTCAGATGCTTAACAGTGGATACGCTGTAACTTGTTCGCGCTCCGCTTAAAGAACACCTTTTTTTATTATATTAATTATATATTTTTTTAATTGCCAACTATATGACAATGAAAATCTATTTAAAATATTTAAAAAATATTTTCACTTAAAATATACACAAAAATAATTGTGGAACAGTTTCTATTGCATCGTTTCTCTAGCCGCGTAACGTTAATACATAATTACGATAGCAACTATTCAAAAATAGCACATTATAAAAATAGTCAGATTATACTGTAGAATAGCATGCTTTTTAAACAATTCATTTGAAAACACTTAAATTCAAACGTTGGACTCCGTGATAAAATTGTAAACAGAATGTCAAGTCAACAAACAGAAAATACATTGGCAATAGAAGTTGTGACAAAACACTGGAACAGACAAAAAGTACCATTTAACATGGTATTTGCGATGGATCTTCTCGATTTCCCAGAGATGACAAAGAGAGATTTAAAATACTATTTACCGGATCGCATCAGTTATCGCAAGTATTTTCGTATTTAGTAAAAATAATGTTCAAAGACAATAATATTCACACACATTCCTTAAAAGGAAATAATAACATTATTGTAACGCTGGTTCCGCGACATGCCGCGCCGGTTAGGTGGCGCCGGAGGGCCGCAGTACCGCGTTCGAGCCTCCTCCCGAAGCAGTGGCTGCATAAAGGAGCGGGGTCGGATCGAGTATGAAATACGCGTATATTGTTAATGCATACTTATTTATTCTAGTCTAGAAGTAACCGATCTGGTGTGAGTATGTACAAAAGCTTACTAACTAACTTACAACTAGTGCCTTACAAGCTAGGCTGTTTTATGGAAGCGCACGCGGGCGCTGCAACAGTTCGATCTCGAGGCGTGGTGGGACGGGATGTCGATCCCACGTCAATTAATGGCGTCGTTTCGATATCATTTTGCGAACCCTACGGGTGGCAACCGAGGGTCTCGTCCCAACAGTTGGGTGTTCTCTCTTGTCGCAGTGAACTACACTTGTTCAAGTTTCGAGAAAACTCGCCGAGTGAGCATCACGGCTCCTCTTATATCCTCTGCCGCACGCGAAACCTGTAGATGGCGAGTTGCCAGGGTCGCGACGCCGATGGGTGACTTTCGTCCCAAAACACCCGTTTGATTGTCCAGGCGGCACGGAAGGTGAACCCCTACGTGGCACGTCCCCAGGTGGCGGATAGGGGCAGCCGCTGGGATGGGTTGCGGGGATGAGGTCATCAGTCTGAGAAGGCTGGTGGCCACA